CCTTCCCAAGGCGCTTATCTTTCTGGCATAGTTGGGTTCGGCTACGTTTTTCTCTTTGGGGTTTAGAAGTACCCCCAAGTACTCTGCTGGGCCGTGACTCCATCCTAGCTCTAATTCTGGGCAGATGCGATGGTCTGCATCTGCATTTGACCCTATCCACAATGGCCGAGTCTTTTTGTCGTTTAATTTCAGTCCTGATGCTGCGCGGAATTCATTCATCAGTTTAACCGACTCTCTCAGTGATGTGGGCTCCCCGTCCGTAATAAGGAGCAGGTCGTCAGCATACGCTGAGACCTTAATTTCCGTATCCCCGAAACTGAACCCCTTGATGAGGCGACACGAGCGTATGTTTTCAAGCAATGGTTCAATGCACATAAGAAATAGTCCGCAACTTAGTGGACAGCCCTGTCTTAATCCTCTGTTAATCCAATACGGGCGAGATAGGTGACCGTTTAGCTGTATTTGTGCTGATGTCGGTTGCACGAGATCGCTAGGGTAAAACAACTTAATCCACCTAAGAAAATTTGGACCGAAACCAAACTTGTGCACAGCACATCTTAAGTACTCCCAACTGACAGAGTCATATGCCTTTTCCCAGTCACATAAGAGGAATAACCCTTTCTCATCACTCTCACGAGCAAAGTTCATCACGTCTAAAGCCATTCGCACATTCTCACCGATATAGCGGCCTTTGATGAATGCTGTTTGGTCGTCATTAATTAGCATACCGATAAAGCTGGCGATCCGCCTTGCTAATGTTTTAGTAATTATCTTGTATACTACATTTAATAGACTTATTGGGCGGAATGATTCAACTGAAGTTGCGTCCTTGTTTTTCTTCGGAATAAGTATTGTAATACTATTTCGTAGTTGCAACGGAATGCTTGAGTTATTGTAGCATTCAAGGGCAGCACTAAAAACGAGAGGGCCAAGCTCATTCCAAAACATTCTATAGAAGGGGACCGTGTACCCGTCTGGCCCCGGGCTAGTTGAACCATTCATTGAGTTTAGGGCTGCTTGTAGCTCTTCCATGGTAAGTGATGTTTCCGCTTCTAAGGACTGCTCGTTCGAAAGCGCATTGACCTCTACACCTGATAGAAAAGCCTCCGGGCAAACATCCAGGCCTTTGGAGTACAAAGCGCTGTAATAAGATCGGCATTCCTCTAACATATCAGTCATATTTTCAGAGACTGCACCTGCACCCGTAAGATTTAATTTTAAGCACTTAATAACGGTGCCCGCACGATTTCGTTTGTTAAGGCCGTGGAAGTACGCGGTACCTCGCTCGGCTGCATGCCGCCATCGAGCTTTACAGTTAATGATGCCCCGCTGGGTGGACTCGTAAATCAGGTTCTCTCTCTCTTCTTTAATGCTAGATAGCGACTCGGACACATCTGAGTCTTGATCGCTATGGCTTTGGAGCGCGTTAATTTTGTTCTCAAGATCTTGTAATCTTTTATTTTTCGCTGTTTTCTTGTGCGAAGCGAACTGTATTATCCAGCCCCGAAGGACGCATAGAACAGTCTGCAGGAGCAGGCAGTGAGATTCTAACGGCGAGTTATCGTCTATTATTTCAACAATCTTACTTCTTGCTTGATCAACAAAGTTCTCGTCAATCAAGAGTGAGTTATTGAACTTCCAGAAGGATCTCCCAAATTTTACCGACCGAATGGTTACCTCCAAGGTGATCATCTGGTGGTCAGAGAGGTATCCATCTCTTATACCGGCTTCTGGCAAAACGGCGTTCTGCATAAAGGCTTCACTTATTAGGAAGAGGTCGATACGTGATTTTGTTACGGGATTGTTTCGTAAGCACGTGTATTCACGGCGGCCGGGATTTTGTACGCGCCAGATGTCCAGGAGGGAGTTCGCCTGCATATATTCGAGAACGGTTGCTCTGCACCTGTTATTATTTTGGGGTCGTTGGGACGTTGTGTATCGGTCTAATGCCATATTCATACAAAAGTTAAAGTCCCCACCCCATATAATGTCACCAGCACGAATTGCGTCGCACTTCCTACTCAAATCCTCGAAATAGTCAGGGTTGTCACAGTTTGGGCCATAACTACAGATTAAAGTACAAACGACACCATCGATATCGACGACTGCGATCGCGAACCTACCCGACTCACAAGTCGCAGAATCAATCACCTGAAGTCGTAATTGTGGATTAAATAGAATAGCCACCCCTCTACTGCGGCTGTCGCCGTGTGCAAAAACTCCTTGTCCTCCCCATTCGTTTAGCCAATATTTGGCGCATTTCTCGTCGCTGTGTGTCTCCTGCACGAAAATTATATCCATTCCAAGCCTCTTTATCCAACTAAAAAACTTTCGTCGTTTTGGGACTTTACCTCCTGCGCGCAAACCGTTAATGTTAATTGATGCAATCTTAACCGCCATTACCATAGGCAAAATTACGTATGGATCCGTCTTGGCTTATCGAGTTCTGGATGCTACCCGACTTCTTTCCTTTACGGCTCGTCCGCCCTGCTCGGATGTTACCCTCCCAAAACATACCCGTACCCTCGCCTTCTCCCCAGTTCGAGACCGAACGAGCCGACATCGTCGGTTCGGTCGGGCGGCGCGGCCCTTATACCTCTGGAAGGCTACATCGCACGTTTAAGCCTATCGCGCTATCCTGTGCTACATCAGCTAGAACTTGTCACGATACGACGGACATGGTGACAAGTTGACAACCGGTATGCCTGACCTTCCTTTGTGTCAGCTTTTTTCGCAAACAAACACACAAACTTTCCGCACGTAACAAACGAACAAACAATTGGTTCTGGTTACACAGAAATTAGTATAGAAACACCTCGCACACGGAATAAACGCAACTTTCTGGCAGACAAATCACCTAGATTCTAGCCCCTCACCAGACACCAATCGAGAGAGGCCCGACACACTTGCACACGCCATGCACCAACGGCTACTCAGCGTGTAGCGCCTCCGCGGCAGCACTCCCGTCAACCCCCGTCCCCGCGCCGCGACCGCTCCCCGTCACAACAGTACCTTGGTCTGGAACGGATGGCTCCGGCTGCCGCTCCCGCACCTTCACCGGTTCGGGGTCGGGGCCGACGGGCGGATGGCCGCCGCCCGCGGCCGCCGGCGGCGCTGCAGGGGCCGCAGTTCTCCGATCGCCGCCGACCCCAGCGCCCCGGCCGGCCGGACCGATCGGTCGACCCGCCGGAACGTCCCGCGCTGACGGCCCACCACCGTCCCGTACACCGTTCGCCCCACCTCCGCCCCTCCCCGCCGCGCGTCCCGCCGCCGGCCGCGGCTCCGGTCGCGCCTCGGGGCGAGGCAGGGGCGCGTCCAGGATCGGCCGGATCTGCTCCAGGCTCGTCACCCGGCGACTGTTGGAGCTGGTACTCTGCTTGAAGAATGGGTATCCTCTTCTCGTGAAGCACGTATATATGCGTCCTTCTCTCTTGGCGCCGAGGAGCGCGTTCATGATATCGCGATTATGGACGGACAGCGATTCTGTTATGAACAGACGGTGCCCTGCCGTGCGCGTTTTCTGTCTGAAACGGCTGTCGTATATCTGGTCTCGGACTGACCTTCTGACGAACTTGCAGATGACCGTGTTGTCAGCCTGCAGACGGTGGACCACTTGTAGGTCACCGCTCGACAGCTTAAGCCATTCGAAGCTTGAGTTCAAGATATGCCGAGCTTTTTCCTCGATATCTTCATTGATTGTTCTGCGACCGAATTCGTCGCTTTTGAGAATCAGACTGTCCAGCCTGTGGTTTGTGTCCATTGAGTTTATCTGCTCTTTCAGTGACTCGTTTGTTTGTTTGAGTCGCGCTACTTCTGCCTCCATGTCCTTTGCTCGCGACGCGGCCTCAAATGTGTCATGCTCAATGATGTCAAGGCGCTTCTCGAAAGACTGAAGCCTTGTCTCTAGCCGCTCTAGTTTCTGTATTATGGTCGCGTTACCAGCGTCTATGAGCCCCTTGATTTGCGACAAGGCCAGCTCGTCTAGTCCGATAGATGCGTGCCGTTCGTGCCCGCTTACCCGCCGTCTCTTCTGACTCACCGACGCGGGTGGGTGTGCCGTCTTCTCGAGGCCCTGAACGCGCTCCGACACGGAGATCCGCCGGCCGCTCCTGACTCCGCCACTGGTCGGATGACGGCCCAGCTCCTCGTCGGCGTCCGTAAAAACGGAGTCCTCTTCGGAGTTTAAAGGCGACGGCATTATGTCCGACGTCGCACTCACAAGCACTGTTTGATTTCGCCTGATCGTCCGCGCCGCGCCGCCCCACCCGCCCGGGGACGCCTACTGCCACATGCGCGGACCGACCTGCCCCGCGCACGGACAGCGCACTGACACACGTCCGCTCCGGCCGGGGTCACCGGCTCGACTGTTTTTTTGACCTTTGACCTGACCTAAGAAAAAAATGATTGAAATGCTTTCTTCGTGTTTTTTTTACGCTCTTTCGAACGCCGCTTACCTCATGCCTCTACGCAGTACGCAGCACCGGTGCCGAGTTAGGCGGGGAAGGGTGTTGATACACCTCCTTGTTAAAAAAAAACTGGCCCGGCGAAGGCGGCCAACCGTTGGCCTCGAATACTGCATTGCTCACAACCAATGAATTCAGTTATTGTGTTGATGAGCTCCACGCTGCCCTATGGATTTTATGGAATCTCCTAACTTAGCCAACTTCCCCAGTAACTCTGAGCTATCACTTATAAAGTGCGTGAGTGGCGTAAACACCAAGCCTGGCAGTGATGTATAAGACAACCTGAGAGCTTCACAAGTTAGCAAAGTTTTTAATATCATACCCTTAATCTTTGTTGTAGATTTCTGGATCTGGGGACTTTCCCACCACTTCACTGCCCCGTAGGAGATTTTCAGAACTACTCGAAAAACTTGTCTGTACCTTAAGCGTTAAATGCTCTTGGTTACGTATTTCTACTGAATAAACAGCCATGAATTGTGTAGCTGGTTTCCAGTCGGTGCTAAGTACGTTTCACAGAGTGACCACACATCTACAGGCGCAGTTTTCACCGTAAGATTTATTCCTGTTATAACAAAACGTCTGCACAATAACAAGGAACGCCTGATGCCTACAACGGCCTGGCGAGGGGGCTCTGCCGGACGCCGGCGAGCGCAACCAAGCCGGGCCTGGCTACAGGCCTACCGGCGAAATAGCGGCGGCGCCCAAACAAGATAAGGCCTACGGAGCGGTGCTGAGACCGCCGGCCGGGCGCGCGCTACGGCTACCACTGCACAGGCCACCGCTGTACACCAGCGGCGGCGCGGCGCCGCGCGCGCTAGGCTACTCTCGCCGCGGCGGCGTCCAGTTCGCGGCCCGCCGGCCGACACTCGTTGCTAAGACTTTGGTACCTTTGTTACACAGACACGGGAGCGGGAGCGGTCTCGGCTGGCGACTGGCGGCCGTGTGTGTATCGCCGCGCCGGCCGACTCGCCGTGGCGGCCGGACGGTCGGAGGGCGGCGCGCGCCCCGCGCCGGCGGCCGCTCGGGGCGGGGGCGGGGGCGGGCGACAGTGACCGAGGGGACGCGGGGAGGGGAGGGGGGCCGCCAGTGGTGGGGCGCGCGCCGCGGCGCCGCCCGCCAGCCGTGGACAGGGGCGGCCGCGACCCTGTGCCGGGACACACAGACGTACAGAGCACACCCAGGGGAGGGCCGAGGGTCGCCGCCGCCACTGCGGGGGTCCAGAAGTCACGGCCGGCGAGGGCGCGCGGACGGCCCGGCCGGCCAGCGCACGGCGGCCGGCCCGGCGCGCCGGCGGCGGCGGCGGCGGCGGCCTGCGGTCGGCGCGCGGCGGCAGCGGCGCTCGGACGGACCGACGCGTCTCCCCGCGGCCGCACGGCAGCGCCGGCCGCAGGCGGGGGCACGCCCGGTGCCAGATCTCCGTTCAGCGGCGTGCCCGGTCCGCTCAGTTCAGCTCAGCGGTCCGCCAGTCGGCCGCAGCTGGGCGGCCGCTTGCATAGTCCCGCTTGAGGGCCGCCTCATTGCAAAACACACTTCCCTGCGGAGACAGGAGTCCAGTGAGAGCCAGCGACGGCCGACCGACGGCAGGGGGAGGCGGCGACAGCTGGGAAAAGGCTGTCACAGGGAGAGGCCGGAACGCCTTGGGAGGGATGCTGTGCCATCACATCGACTGCCGACCGGGCGAAGTTCAGCCCCGATGTTTAAACCAAAGACTCCAATACACAAGCTGATCAGTCCAGTGCACACCACATCCAGCAGCTACATGAAGTGACACCTAGTGAAGAAATGAAGCGAGGAGGATAGAGCACTCGGTTGCGGTGTGCGGCTCGGAGAGAGGTGTGTGTGTGTTCTATTGATAATAGTTGGGGAGAACTCAGAAAGGTCTTTTCCAAAGAGCTTAGGCTGCTGCAACAATAAAAACACCAGCAGAGCCGGGTACAGCACCAGGGGCCTTCAGATATTTGCCAGTCCACCGGTGGGGCTGACAGATCGGGTCACAGCGGGAGGCGTGGGCTGGAGGTCAGCGAGGTGTGACAGGCGACAGTTTCTCGCGGGTCACACTGTGCCCTGGAAACAGTAGCGTCAGCAGCAGCCCGCTGTCCGGACTCCGGCTGTCGGGTCGCAGGTCACACCGAACGGCTCGAGCGGGGGTCGACCGGCTACATGTCATGCCGACGGTGCGGGTAACATTGGGAGCTCACCAGCAGGTCACGCTGGGTCACGGGGGAGGGGTCACCAGTCCTCTCAGGGTACACGAGGTCACACTGAGGCTGTACGCGGCTGGATAAGGATAGAGCCAGATAGAGACAGCGAAGGAAGGAAGACAGCCAGCGCCGCAGAGAGAGAGATAGAGATAGACCGAGGGCGCGGTCGTGGACGATCTGTGACTAGACGTGCCCGTGAGGTCACACTGAACGGCTAGAGAGGGGCGCCGAGTGGCCTCCTCACTTACCATGGATTGACCTCATCTTCTCTGAAACACAGACCGATCGGTTACACGCGGCGGCGGTGCCGGGACGCTACCTCTCAGAGCGGGGCGGCGCGCACCGAACCGGCATGCGTCGCGCCGCCGTCACCTGAATTCACAATGCTCTGCGCTTGCATCGTGCGACTGAACGAGACGAGGGCGGCGTCAGTTGCATGGACAGCGAACGGGACGATCACCACGCGCCTAAGGCTCTAGATATGCCACTAGACCGGCGTGCAAAAAGCTGCAAAAATAAATGGCAGACGACTAAAACTCACAGCGCTCTAAGGCTTTATGTGTGGCAGCGATGCGTCCCCGACTTACCTTCGATCTGCTGCTTTATTTCGTTCACTTGCGTTTCCAGCGAGTTTTTCAGTTCTGCAACCACAGAGGTGCTGTTCAGTTTCCAGTCGGTTCGCGGCGGTAGCCATCAGTCGCTGTCAGCCAGCGCGTTTGTTACGTAACTGAACGGCGGCCACACGCTCCGTTTTTCAAACATTTTCTGATACATTACTCAATAGAAACCGGAAGAGTACTTAAACAATATCGCTAGTGGCCTTTTCACAATAAATAATGACACAGGTAACCTTGTTTTTGGTGAATTGCAATACCGAATTGAGTTTTATTAAGAATGTTTCAACATCGGATCCCGGAAGCCGAGCCACTGTTTCGACTACACAAGAAAGCCAGGACTCCAAGTTGCATGGTACAGCCGAGTTGGCGTGGCATGAATACTCGGTACGGAAGGTGCTGCGGGAGGGCCGCGGGGACCCAGTGGACAGATGATGCTGGGCTGGCCTAGTGTGATCCATGTGTTTGTGTGTATCTGCCCGGCTGTACAATTTAGCAGCACGGATAAAATATTGGCGACACTGGATGGGACACTGGGACAAGCGAGTGAACCACGCTCCGGACTCTAACGGATCGACAACACTGTAAACGGACGCTGACTCATGTAAACGGGGTAACCGAAGGTTTGTTGTCAATAGTTAAAACACTATTCTTTAGAATTGTAACCGAAGGTTTGTTGTCAATAGTTAAAACACTATTCTTTAGAATTGTGTTTTTCTATTGAAAAACAAATCTGAGTTCCCTGACAATTTGGCAAAAGCTGCCTGAGATCAGTACCTACAACTTGATGCTCTTGAAAACGGCTGCTCCAAAAATTCTGATTTTTTCAGGATTTCTAGTGGGCCAGGTGATCTACGTTCTAGTATGGGTCTCCCCTCCGCGGACCATCTGGTGCACGTGCCACGTGACTTTGAAAATTCCCGTGTTAAGCCAATGGGCAAAATGAAAAAATGCGTTCCACGGCAGATTGCTCGAAAACGATCCAAACGACCCCCCATTTTCTTCCATGCAGATCAACCACCATTCAGTGCACTACCCATGGGTATGTCGCAAAGTGGCCGGAAAAGTCCAGAACCACGTGCCACGTGCCGTTGAAAATGACCCTGCACACCGGAAATTGGGACTTTTGGTCATTTCGGCGCACCCATGATGCATACTATGGCGTGGGTGACCAAACAATGGGTGTCATCCGGTCGGCAACTGTTTAATGTGTGGTCCAGTGGGCCAAAGTGGTAGTTTCAAACTTTTGGGATCCACCATTCTGGGGATTCTTTTTGACAATATACTTACGTTTCTTGGCGCAATGTTCATTCCACCCAGCCGGTCGTCAATGCGTTAGGTGACCCAAATGACGATTGACCTGAAGGAAGTTGGGGGCGAGGAACACGCACGTGCCATCCGTTTTTTAATCGGGCGCTTTCATCTAGGGGATTTTTGCAGATATCTTTGATTTGTGAAAATGACCAGCCTAGCGATATGCCAGTCGTTGATAAATTATTATCTTGCTGCGGCCGGGCGCTTATTTGCGGTGTTTGCGTTTGGCGGCTGGCGGGCGACTTTTAGTCGTTTTCGGTTAGCAGTTAGCGTCGGTGCGGTGCGGGCGTTTTTTTTTCTGTGTGGTTTGCGGCGGTCGGGCGATTTTTTGCCGTTCGCGTTGGCTTTTCGGGCGGGCGTTTTACACGTTTTGCGGTGTTTACGTTTTGCGGCGGGCGGGCGTTTTGTGTTTTTTTTGCGGTGTTTGTCGTTGGCGGCTGGCGGGCGATGCGGGCGGTTTTCTTTTTTTTTTGCGTCGTTTGCGGTGTTAAATTTGTTTGCGGTTGGCGGCCGCTTTTTCGTTTTTTTGCGGTGTTTTTTTTCTTGGCGGCGGGCGGGCGATTTTTAGGCGTTTTCGGTTGGCGGTTAGCGGGCGTGCGATGCGGGCGGTTTTATTGTTTTGCGGCGTTTTTGCGTTTTTTTATTTGCGGTTTGCGGCGGGCGTGCGTTTGTTTATTTTTTGCGACCTTTTCGTTTGCGTTTCGGGCGTGCGTTTTGCGCGTTTTGCGGTGTTTGCCTTTTGCGGCGGGCGGGCGTTTTTCAATTTTTCACAATTCAAAGTTCAAACCTTCGGGCCACAGCGCTCCTCGAAAAGCGCTGCCCTCGATAATTGACGCGGTGTGTCACGGACGGAAATATGTAATGACACGGGGTCCCGCGGATAGGGACGTAACAATACAGGGTCTCACCGATCATCCTGTCAACCGACCGTGTATAGAGATTGATAGATTGATACCCAGGAGATGAAGAGGTAAAGGGACATAACACCATCGTGCCAAACTTGTAAACAGTAACGTGTACAGTATCAAGTCCCATAGGATCGCGCCCGCCGGCCGAGTAGACCGAGCTAGCACCGAAGCCTGGCTTCATTACATACATTTGAATATCAAAGGATCATAAACCCGTTTTGATAACCGTGGGCTGTCGGGGGCCATTAACACTCGCATCAACATGAAACGATTGGAAAAACATAGTTGTGAGCTGTAAGCTATGGAGCCCATCAGCGATTAGTTACTAGTTCAACAGATAAAACTCGCAGCGACTCATTGTTCCATTTCGAAGAATTGACCTACTATAACACCGAGTGCCGGGCCAATCGCCGAACCATCTCGATTTCACCCGATGTTGTCCGAAATAACGATGTGATATGGAGCGGTCTGTGACGGGGCAATGGGCGCTGATTGCGGCCGGTCCGGCCGGGTCAGCCAGCGAACCGTCCAACGGCCGGGGAAACGGGCTCCAAACGTCCAACGGCCGGGGAAACGGGCTCCAAACGGCCCGCGATCGGAAACGGCTCTCGGTGACGCCGGGGACGTTTCCGAAAGGTCAGCCGACCAGCAGCCGATATTTATCTGGGGACGGCCGTCAGGTTTCGGGAGGGATACGACGGCCGGGGCAGGCGGTATCGAGCGGGGGCCGATCGCCCCGGCAGGACTGCGACCCGCGGACGGGCCGCCCGCCACTGCACCCGGGCCCGGCCGGCGGCGCCACATACGCCGTGCGTACGGCCCACTAATATCGGAGCGGCTGGCGGGCAGAGGTGTAGTCCGCCGCAGCCACGCTCGCGCGCGGGAAATTGACACCGGTGCTCAGCTAATGGGCGAATGGATGTCGACGTACGCGTCCCACGGGTAAACACGCCTGTCAAGAGCGATATTAGGCCTCTTGCGACCGGACCTGCAGCGGGAATGGTTGTGCGTCTGCGCGTGGGAAGTATCGACATTGAAGGTAGGTCAGAAAAGAAACGAACCTTTAAATTGGCAGGCTAGCTCGGTATCTGGTAGCGCTGAGCTTTTAATTAAAAAAAAAGAACGTAAAAGGTTTAGGTCTCTCGTTCCTATGCTCTTCAGATAAAACAGGGAGTTGAGAGGGGACCCTGTACAGCGCAGAGTTCGGGGAAGACGGCGATAGTTGGAAGTAGCCGGGCCTCTCCCGGCGACTCTCGGGCGCGCCGTTCGGCCGGCCCGGAGAGCGGCGTCGGCGGCACTCACTGGTGAACTCGTCCTGGTCTGCCAGTTCCGCCTCGCGGGCCAGCTCCTCGGGCGTCTTCTTCTTCCGCATCAGCGGGTTGTCGGGCTCGGCCGGCATCGCCGCCTCCTCCACCACCTTCTTCTTTATGTTATACTGAAACAGAGGGGACGTCCACCTGTTATCTCGGCATCAGTCTTAGCTCAGCAGCTCAGCGCGTAACTCAGCATTTTTGATCATATCTAGAATGGAACGATATAAATGATGGCTGGAGCCATGTCGTATCGATTAATAAAACATTTTACCCCAGCAGAATAGTGTTCTGTGGAACTGAAACTTCAGTACTTACAGTAAACAACGGTTTTTACATTTATCATGTTTGAATCATCAATTTTAATTTGCATAGACTGTGAATTGGTATTTTTACGTATAGTGTTATGCCAATTTGACCATTGTATTGCCAGTCCTATAGGTATACAGCAGCGTTGCGTATCCTCGTCAAAAATGCATAGCCCACTTCAACTGCCCCCGTATTGCAAACTTCAATTGAACGAATAGTCCCTATGCCAATAAAACTCGTACACATCACCGCCACTTTCTGACAATCACAAGGATGAGCCAACATAATTTCAGTGAATCTGTGCCCACTATGTAACTCCGCGAGTAGGCTCAGTGCGTCGTACGAATGGGACCGTGTTAGCACACCGTGGTCCTGAGAGCACTCCGTCTCCACAGCCAGCACGACACCTTGAATAGATCCCTCAGTCAACCCGGCTCAATGCCGGACTCCAGTGGCTCCCGAAGCCTGCATTGCGCCACTAAATTAGCACAATTGTCAACTATGATCAAAGGCGAACAGTGCAAACAATGTCTACAAAATGAGAGCATACCGCATTCTCAAACAATGTCATTCCCTCACATTGCCATGTTGACAGTGCTCAAGGCCTCTCAGAGCTGCAGGGAACTCAGAAGCTAGCTTTAGACGCATCCACAGGTATCATATGAGTTCGCTCATCGTAGCAACTAGTGCCAATCACAGCTCGAGAGGATCTCCACATCGTTTAGAGCACTGTGATGTAATTCGTTGTAAACGTTTACCCGACTCAGTCATTGGAGCTGATGAGTCGTCAGTAGGTAACTATCCAGTCCTCGATTGCATGCAGTGCGGGACGGGTGATCGAGAGTGACGACTCAAAGGACACGTGAGCCGGCGATAAGGCATCGCCATCATACCTACAATAAAAGATCATAGCATTTGAACACGTCGGCATCATACTTCAAACAAAACTCATATTAATTTATTCGCACAGCTAGTGTGGCTGAAACAGGTTTTACGGCTAAGGTCACCACTTTCTCAACTTATAGAGGCCAACGATTATAATTCTTTCTTTGCAGTTTCGTCAGTTTCTTTGCAGAACTGAAGATAAGCAGGATGCACAGTGATGGTTGATGCGCTATCGCTGTAATTTTCAGAGTCCAGAGTGGCGTCTGACCCTGGGCCTGCAGTAACGATTAGCCGGCTGGTGCCCGCCGATCATCATCGCCACATAGTTGGCCGTAATTCGGCCCGTCAGAGCTAGGTAGGGCTGAAGTTCTCGCCCACGGCGGCGGGGAAATCTCGACAGCACGACCTTCTTTGGCAACTAATCTCAAGGTCACAAACGTTCCAGCAAAGTTTGCAACGGAGTTCGGAGAATAAATTTGGACGAATAGTCGTCAGCTGGGTACGCACATAAGATAAATGATAACATTTTAGTGAAATGAAATTATTATAAAGGCGTACTACAATTAATACATTTTATCACATCCACCTGGCAACATTGTTCAAATGAACGTATTATTGGCCATCATTATCGTCACTTGCAGCGCCCAACAACAATGCAGCGCGAAATTCTGCACTCAGAGTTGGGTTAGCGTTTAGCGGTGATGTCAACCACAAAAAAAAACGGATATACCGTCTTCCGTTGGGTCTATTCCGCTCTGTAGGCAACACGCAGGAATTACATTAATTTCTGATCAGCTTATCACAATACCAGCTATTATCCATGATCAAAATGCCTTTTGTGTTTTCTCGTGTGTCCATGGGGCCGACGTGTAAGCGGATTCAGCTCCACATGGACGTGTCACGGGAAGCTGAACTAACTCAAGCATATCACCCACACATTTCTTACAGAAAGCAATATTCTTCCCGCCGTTTTATTCTTGTCTGAACCTATATGTGCGCGTGTCAGTGTTGAACGCCTACGCGCCCGCGGCGCTATGTGTTCGGTGCCCACCTTGTCGCGGATGCCCTGCCGCAGCTGCTCGCGCTCCTCCTCCATTTTGCGGTGTTTCTCCTTGCGGCGCTCCTCGGCCTCTGCGATGGCCTCCAGCCGCTCTCTCTCCGCCTCCTCCTCCTTCTCTTTGTCGCCGTCGTCATCGCCGCCGCCGGCGCCCGGCAGCTGGCCTGTGGTCAGGTCACAGAGGTTAGCCGGACAGGTCACAGAGGTCAGGTCACAGAGGTCAGAGGGGCGCCCGGCAGCTGGCCTGTGGTCAGGCGGGTCACAGAGGTCAGCAGGGCGCCGCCGCTAGCGGACCTGACATGGAGGTCAGTAAGCAAGGGCAGAGGCTATAGGGACGATCAGTACAGCAACCGATCTCTTCAACTAAAAAATCAAAACAGTAAAGCTATTTGACTTTGTATCATATGACATTCCGACATCGTGCTTTGAATTATTGAGACAGTAGGTAATTGACAACAATATTACTTATCATTGCATTAAACAGATCGTTATCTTTCTTTCACAACGGTAACGATGCTTTCGATATGATGTATATTGTATGTAGCTCAATATAGCCGAAAAATATACATGTGAATGTCTTATATCGGTTGCTACAATATTTCTTAATGTCCATTCAGCATTTAACTTATAGAAAAGAAGTCAATTAGCTATTCAGCTAGTGCCCTCATTGTTGACATGCGAGCTATCAAACCCATTTAATTGTGTGTTTGTACGATATAAGCCTGGATGGTTGGCCACCTCCACATATAGTGGCGGTTGGATTATTAGGTGAGCTGCAATGGCAGGGAATGAAAGGACGAATGACGAAGAAAATAGCTAAATGAGTAGACGACTGCTGGAGGGGGACATCATTGGAAGGACGTATAAATGGGCTTTGAAATGAAATCTTTCGGAATGTAGCGCATTAGCGTTAAGCGTATTTCGGGCACCGGCACCCTGCTATTTTTGCTTGGAACCACTAATGGTAAAAGGTATTTTCGTTGAGCATGATTATTCTCGTTTTGGATGATTAAAATACTAAATATTACAGGCTTTGGTTTCCTTTCAGCCGAAAATGATCACAGTTGGTATCTAAGCAGCCTCTTGTAACATATCAAGGCTTCAGCCTTGGTTTAACTCTCGGTATCGTTCCGTGTGCTTTGTGAATCCAATCGAGGAATGATGCAATAAATGTCGTTTTTTTTGTAAACGGTGATTTACACGAGGGAAGTGTCTGTAGTAGACGAGCAGTGACTAGTCTGCCGTTGTGTAAAAACATTCGTCACACTTTATCATGTTGTGTAACTTACATTGACTTCAATTTATAACAGCATCCATAAATATCAAATACCAATGCACAATGCATCCCCGAGCTCCAATTTTCCTGATCATCCGAATTGCGGTACCGGCCGGGGTGCTAAGTTCCCGAGGCTTTCAAATTCAGTTGTCAATGATTCCTTCACTGATGGCCCTTGCCAAGATGAGGCTATTAAGGTGCCTATCAGGAAATGGCAATTAAAACGCATATGAAATATTGCATGCTCTCGTTAAAATAAACGCGTTATGCTCTCTTGTTCATATTTATCTAAACATGCCTTATGTGTTTGCTGACGGTACACTGGCTAAGATGCGTCAGTGTGTCAGTGTACGTGCACGTGCGTGCGAGAGGCGATCTGCATGCAGCCGCGGGGACGGTGGGCTCATTGTCGGTGTGTCGGTGCCGTGAGCGATCACCGACGGCGCTCCGCCCGCCAACATCTGCCCAGACGGGCGCCGGATAGATGGAGGTCCCCGAAAGACCGGCAACGGACACCCCCCCCCCCCCCCACACACACACACCACACGGCAGCCCCGGGACAACGAATACAATGTGAATGCCGAACTCTATAAGACCATCCAGCGTCCGATGCATGAAATCACTAACGAGTACGCTTATCGTATGCCGAAGGGAGGTAACGCAAGCGCAGGATTTAACCTTTCAACCAAACCTGCCGTCCTAGGATTCTTGAAATGTGCTGCTTTTGTTACCTGGCATCAGTACCTACTTTTCATCTTTGTATTTTTTATCCTGCCAAACACATGAAACAGGCTACGTCATACGTGCCTGACTATGTTGTATAAAGCACATTCTGGCTCCTCGTTTGTTTTCCCACTACATTTGATAATGGCTTATATGTTGTCCCATCATGAATCAGCAATGTAAATGTGTTCTAGTCCTTGGACAGTTGTATCATGCTGGTTCTAATTGGGACATGACGTTGCAGGCCGTAAAAAATCATTTTCGAACCTAAAACGGTTGCAGTTCGGTATATGGTCATTCAGCCTTCCCGAAAATTACATGCTCGCTCCTGCTCAATTGCTCATGAAAAAAACTTATTTTCGTTTTTAGATCTGTCCACTTAACACGTCAAAACATCGACTTCATTACTATGTTCACCGGGTGTACTTATTACTCGAGTCACAGGTCGTGGAAATGGAGCGCTAATGACCATATTTACCATATTTTTAACGGCTGATGAGTGTCTGCACCAGCGACGCTGTATGCCGGTGAGCGTCGTCCACCGCCAGCGCTTCACATAGATAATATGGCAGCGCTATTTCCGGAGAGTCACAGTGCAGCTGCAGCGTTCAGATATGTGGCTAACCGGCCCCGCGGTTAATTTATGATATGTCCAAATATCGATGACATACGAGTCCCATTTCGGTTGCATTGTCATCAACCAATGCAGTCTGAAGTGCACGTGACTCTCGGTCTTGTTGGCTGTCCCATTTCACACTGGTTGTGTCTGCCCGGTTCGGACGCGGCAGTATCGGCTCCACCGCGTCCTTGCCCTGGTGCGGCAGCACCACCGCGTCCTGTTCTGTTACTCCTGGTATACGGCCGGGGCGCGCGGCGGCAGGGCGGCCGTTCGCCACCGAGGGGCTTCCTTGGGAGTCGGGCTGCACGCCAGCCCCGAGGTCAATACCAGCCGGGCGCAGCGCCAGGGCGCCGGGGACCGTCGGAAGGACGCACGGACCAGCGAACAGACCGAGGCAGCGATGGGCAGACGGACATGCGGACGGACAGGCGGAGGGGACGTCTGTGCCACTGCCGACTGCGCTGTTACCGCTCCAGACGTGCCACATCGTACCGGGTAGTAACCAGTTCCTCACAGTGGGTAACACAGCAACCTTTTTCAGGAACGCTGCTTCCAGTAAATATTCCTTCTTCTTTGAGCTGATCCTTTATCGCAACTTACTAATTTTACTGCTTTGTTTCTTTCCTCGAATCATATCGTGTTTGATGTTCATTTTTTCTCGGTTTAATCTACTCACGATTCTTTGCTTTGTGAAGCTGATTTCTTTTATTTCGCCGCGTTGTTAGTTTCAGATTGTTAGTTCTTCTGAAAGCCAAGTTTTGTGTGTTCAGTGAGTCGAAAAAAACGCAAAAGGCTCGCCATTTTGCCAGTGCCTTAGGTTCGTCTGGCCAGCCGCCTAAGAGGCCGCTATTTCAAAGAAGGGAGTCCCAAGGACTAAAGTGGGAAACACGGCCCGATTCTGTGATCCGGTAAATCACATGAAAGAAACGGAAGAAATCGTTGAGCAGGGAAACTGAAAAGGACCACTTCTAATCTATCCCGCGCCCAAGTGTGGGGGAGTGTTTGAACACCCCCCCCCCCCTCCGGTTTTTCGCAGATATCTCAAAAACGGCGGCGCGGAGCGCCGCCGTTTTTGGTACACCTTATCATACATCAATTTTACACATGTTGTGAAAATTTCAGACCAAGGTCATTCAAGGTCAGGTCACCAGGTCACTTGAAGTGACCTCACCTCATAAAAAGTTTCAATGTCTGCCATAGCTACACCGAGTGACCGATCACTTTGAAATTTCAGCGATTGATGAGGGTAACAGTATCTATAAAATGTATATCTCGGAATTTTGATATCGGTGACCTAAGGTCAGGGCAATTTTGCGGCCTCTCAATTATAAGTCAATGGGAGAAAATCAAAAAGCGTCTGCTTTGCACGAACGCTACTCTAGACACTCTCAAACATCGAGATGTAGGTAAAATTGACACACTGAACCGAAAAATGGCAACTGTGACCCCTCTTTATGTCCCCGAGGTCATCTCAGGTCACGAACAGAATCTAACAGTTTTTCGCTTATAACTTCTGATTGAGGCGTGCTAGAGCGCTGAAAACGCCTTAGATGTGTTCGGCTCGACGTTGCGGATCGACTGATATGCAACATGACCTTTTCCGGTCTGGTCATGACCTTGACCTGAGGTCAAATTTTCAAGTTGACTTTTCAATGTCAACTTATAGTTCATTCGACGCGTCTCGACGAGAGGAACACGATGCTGGCAAAAGTAATGTCATGGCTCTTTTGAGTCAAAAGTTATCGCCGAAAAACCAATTTTCGTAAAAACGGCTATTTTTGGAGTTTTTGCCCTCTGGAGGCTAAACCGTTGACCTGAGGTCAAATCTGAGAGCATTATTCAGAAAGGTCTGTAAAAGGGCTATCGAATGCGCTTTTCCGCGGCGCTGTAGCTCTATCGGTTCCGGAGATAGCCGTTGGCAGTTTCAAAAATGTTGAAATAGTCAACATTTTACCTTTGGTGACCTCTGGTGACCTGACCTTTGACCTGACCCAAAAAATGACCGAAGTGTTTTCGTCCTTATTTTTGACGTTCTTTCGATTGCCGCTTACCGCGTGTCGCTACGTGTCCCAGGAGCCGAGTTAGAAGGGGGGTGTTCAAACACCCCCCCCCCCACACACACACACCAGGTCGTGGAAAATCCAGACTGACACTGGGGCGCGGGCTATAGGTCGATAGCGAATGTTTGTGAAGAACAAATGCCTAACTTATATAGCGGTTGTGTTCCAACAGAGCTTTGAAGTCGCAGAGAACAGGCATTAACTATTTCAAATGTTACGGGGCATGATAAAATGTCATATGCGTCGCGAGCATGCATAACAATGAATAATGATAAAGCTTAACGCCACAGAATCAAGCCTCATTTTTCCATGTATTTTCATGATTTCTACCACCTCAATGTATCTACTTGTTCGACATCCAAGAACAGAACGGGAACGGTGGACAGAACGGGACGAACGTGTGAAAGGAGAAACAGAATGCACGAATGAGCCGCTTTGGAAAAGACGTGTAAAATGGATGGATGAATGTGTCAGTAATTCTATGTTTGATTCATGTAACATTTCGAAAGTTTTAACGTATTAATGCTAAAACTGACGAGCGGACAACTCTGACGGAATTCAGAAAAGTTGCCTTTTCTAGCATGAATTATCTAGCATGATTATCTAGTAAAGTCACCTAAGCTATGTTGGGCATATTCGAAGTGTCAACCCCTTAAACTAATGCTAGCCTTGGGTGTTTGTGGATCGTGCCGTGCATTAGTTGCATTCTAGAAACAAGTGCAGACCATGCCGTTCAGGTACTTTAAATTCCGAAAACTATCGCGTCGAGCACTACCAGTCGGAGCTGGTGCTCGGACCGAGCGGCGCAGAGCTGAGTCTTACTGGTGACGGCGCTCATCGGGTTGAGCATTCCGAACATGGCTGGCTAGTTTGGCCGGCCGCAGAGGCGCTCGAGTGAAGAGGAGTTGGACGATCGGCCCGCCGAGTCACCGGTGATCACTTGCAGAGCGCGAGCGGTGCGAGCGGGGAGCGAGAGAGACAGAGAGGGAGGGAGGAGAGGGACAGAGAAAGGGAGGGGCGACCGGCAGTGAAGGGACAGGGTCGCAGGGGCGCTTTGTAGAGAAAGAACAGATAGAAAGTTGGGCCACGTCACAGCATCCTTCTCAACACTGCAACAGAGAGGGACGGCGGACCGTCAGCCGTGCGGCCATCGTCGCCGGTCGAACTGTGTACACTCACACCTCGCACGCACTCACTGGACGGCGGCAGATCGACCTAACCACCGAAACAGTCATCACAGCCTCTGGCTACAAATGGTTCCAGTGAATGACATCATGTCGACTGCAAAGTAAATTTGACTCCACACGCAAGACAATCTTTCGTTGCTTGGCCGAGTTTAGCAGGCCATCGCCATATAAATGGTAATTCGATAATTAGGTACTTTGATCTAATAGACACAGTTGGGGGATAAGATTTAAATGATCTACCGTCTGTATGTATATGATGTAAGTACCTTTTTACACACCCAAGAAGTCCATACACATAAATACAAACTGCACACAAGCACAAGGGCATCATGTAAACACAGAAGGAAGGGCGGCAATTTCACATTAGCAGCACTCACGACCTAGCAATGAACAATTACGCACACCTTGTGTGAACACCAATACAAGGCATAAAAACACAATCTCTCTCTCTCCCTCTCCCTCTCTCTCTCTCTCTCTCTCTCTCTCTCTCTCTCTCTCTCTCTCTCTCTCTCTCTCTCTCTCTCTCTCTCTCTCTCCTTGCTCCCAGACATTCCGTCTTCGCATCCATGTCCCACACGGCCACACCCAACACTCGTACAAACAAACATACAAACTAGTCCAGCAAAACATATACCAAAGACGCTTTTTGAAAGATGTTTGTAGAGCCTACCCTCGTAGGCCCGACGGAGTTTACTGTCTACCCCTGACGAATGTTTGCGAGAGCTTCATAACACACCAAAATAAGAGCTCGAGCTTTTCTTACATCACTTTGACATCTCCTGGAGTAAAAATTGAGTTTAGCCGCCCTCCCTTCCCAGCACGTTACAGAGTCGATTTTTCTAGACCTTACAAGACAAAGTTCCACGGGGCAGATATATAGGGTGTTCACTAAAAATTGACACAAACTTTGAATGACTGCACATCAAAAGTGAAGCAAGCTATTACGATGCAACTTAGCATGGAGATAAAAGGGACATTTTTGTATCATACCGAGCATAAAATTTCATGGGTGTAATGAAAACAGTCGCGTTGGAGGTCGTTTTAAATAAGGACCACCGAAAGCCAATTGGCACGCTTTCCCAAAATAGTACGTCAATGGGAGAGTCTGGCACGTACAAATACCTAATGAAAGCTTAAAATGTCGAAATTGGTTACATACCGTATGGTGGGACGAAAGTTCTAGTGAGTGTGGGAGTCAGAAAATCTGAAGTGGTGCAAATGTGAAGATACTGATCAAAGGAAAGGTCGGGGCCCCGAAAATGCACGTGGAGGGGCTTTTTGGCACCTCACGATGCAATGCTGCCGATCAGTAAGATATTAACTGTGCCTAAGCGAAGAACATATATCACACCTGAGGCTAGGATGAGTTACAACCGGCGTGAATGATTTCTCGAAGCGACTGGGAACAACATAAGGCAAGATAAGTATATAAACAATGGTCAAGAAAGGGCCACAAATTGCAGAAAAAGACCGATCTATTTAAGGAAGAAAAATCATGTTTTTATCAAAGGGCGACAATTAACTAGACAATGGAGTGTTCTGTAGCGATGTTACCAATGATACAAGAGCTAACGTCCATTTAGCATCCAAGCTAACGCTGGATGCCGTGGTACGTGTGTTATTTCAGAGCATATCATCAGTTCGACTTTATTCCTCCAGGCCGGTCCTTTACAATATGATACTTTCTGAGTCAAGTGTATTATTTAGCACTAGAGGTTCATGCAGAGCAACATATGTAACCAGAAGGTGATTTTCTGGTCCGACCTCGCGCCAGCACACTAATCAAGGGGCGCCTTGGGGGCTCCGGCCGATGTAAAAATTGCATGATTGAAACAAGGCCCGATAAGCCATTTACCACGACTGAAATTAACAAATGAGTATCTAATGTGATTTGCCGAAGGCTATTACGTATATTGGTGTCTTTAAATTTGATACAAAATATCAACTGGCTGCTCATTACCGCCATGAATTGGCCAAATTCACGGTCCACTGGTGCCAGACCTTGTGAAAACACTTACAAGAAAATGTCCAAAAAATGACCTATGGGAATCAGGCAAATCTGTTGACGCTCTACGGTTTGCAGCAGATGCAATGTGCATTACAACAATGCCTCGTTTGTTTAAATCGGTACATTTTTACCGAAGATACAGCCTGCTAAACTTTGTCTCAATTTTTAGTGAACACCCTGTACATAATCTTCAAACAAAAGCCCAAAATAGAGTTTTAGAGATAAAGACAACTTACGAACATGGCTGTGTAACATATGAGTTGGAGAAAAATGCTTAACATTTTTCTCCAGTTTTGTTCAATTAAGTGCATTCTTCTATTATCTGACAATGAATAATGGCTTTATGAATAATGGCTCTTTATTAACCCGGCACCGCCTGGGCTATTTCCGTACCCACGACAGCCTGGGGGGGGGGGGTCGGATCCGACCCCCCCCCCCCCCCTGTTATCTCGAGAACCAATGGTCGTATCGAGCCCCGCGAGGCGGCGTTCGAAAGGTCTCTACGAGACCTTCCCAAAGCACTCTTAATATTTTAAGATTGAGGTCAACTTTCGGGTCAAGGTCAGGTCAAAGGTCAAATTCAGGGGTTTTGCATGATTAGGCTTACGGACAGCGGAATCGATAGCTGCTGCTTGAAACTCACCAAAAATGACCTCAAAGGCCTAGTGAAGGTACCATGTGCGTATAGGGGTCATACTAAGTACGGGTCAAGGTCAGGTCAGGTCACGAAAGGTCACGGTTTTCAATTTCTGCTACATGGGCGTGCGACACATGTTTTATGGCTTATTTTTCACGCCGAATCCAATGGTAATGGTTATGTGTGACCCCAAGTCACTGAGCTGGTGATAAGTGTGCATTGAAAGCATAAAAAATCGTTTATACCATACATAACTAAACGAGGGCTAAGAAAAAAGTCATTTTTCAACTTTTTATTTTTGACAAAAAAATACACTCTTCTAGACGATCTTTGTCCCAGGAATCTAGTGGTGCCATTTGTTTTCACAAGCGATGTTCAGAAGTGCCTCTAATTCACGAAAATGCTTATGACGTCACCATGCCCTATGCATGTTGGAGCTATTTTTTACAATCTGGGGGTCAAAATCAAGATAGAAAGTTGAAATTTGGGGCATCTAATGTTCTAATAGAGCTCTACAAAATATATTCCGTTTTTTTGGAAATTCCCAAAATTTTGGATTTTAATAGCTGTTTTCCAAAAATATAGTTTTTTGAATTTTTAGGGGTGAAAAACGCATTTTATGGAAAATCCGAGATAGCCATTTTAAAGAACTCATTGAGCTGCGTCTTTTCATGTCCTTAATTTGCAATTTGCTTTAAACCCTGATTTTTGACGATTTTTTAAACATTTACCACTTTTTGACTAAAAACGCCATGTAGTTACATCACTAAAATCGATATATCTAAAAAAAATTGAAATTTTTTCTTAAAAATTGCACAGGAGACGTCAAATTGATGGGGGAGAAGGTATGCCAAGTTTCAAGTAGATAGCGAAAGTGGTTCATGAGTTATTCAAGAAAAACGGAGAGGGGGGTCGGATCCGACCCCCCAGGCGGTCGCGGGTTAACGGAGTTTGATAGGGAGGGAGAAAAACAGCCCCGGAGCCAGGTTATCGGGCTTACGCCTCGGCTCGGGCGGGTTAAGAGACTGTGCTAGAGCCGTTCTAAAAGCTCATAAGACCTGCAATCAATCTTGCCGTTGTGGTGCCGGTACCTATGGATAGCAAAATTTACACGATAAACAAATTTGGCCAAAACGTCAGCACATAATTGAAAACTTGGTCAGTGAGGAGATTACACTATGTTGACGCTCCTAAGATTCGCGCAGACGAGCAGCATGTCCTCCATTTTCCGTTCGGCCTGTCGGACTCGAGTGGGCGAGCATGTGGTCGGACGCCACTTGTCTGGCAGCGAAGTTAAGTGTCTTTTGAACGCGATGAAGCTGACATTTGGCGGCTCCTTCACAAACCGACAGGCGGTTATGGCGTGTCAAAAGGCTGACTCGGCCAGAAACTTGAGACTTTCTGAAGGTGATAGTTTGCGAGTATGCCATGGCGTTGGAATTGTGAACCTTGCCGATCGTGGTGGATCAAAGAAACCATGACTTTTGCTTATTTTGTTGAGTTAGGTAAGCCCATGCCCTTTTGCTCATTCAGACTTTTTGGGGGTCATGTGACGATGGGATATGAGGAAATATTGGTCAGGCTGGTATCGTGAAGATGACCAAGGTTATTCCAGACTGGATACCTTGGTTCCCACTGGAGTGGATGTTAGCAGCCACCGCTCATCTGCCCAATCATCACTATACCTGAGTATACAAACGGTACACGGACCCCTACCTATAAGTAAGAGGTATGTACGTACCACCACCACTTTAAGAGTACCACTACCACTATATACCATTATAAGAGGTATACGTTCACCATAAGTAGGAACACACATCTTAATTAACGCCTATGGCGGTCCAAAGCATTCACGCCTTCCAGCACAGGCCCTCGTTAGATCGATTATCACAAGGGCCATGGTATGGGGCCGCTGTCGACGTCGGTATTTAGTTATTCAGCTGACGACGTGTGGCGACAGACAGCGTCTGACAATGCACGGCGGACATTATTATTGACGACACTTGAGGGGAATATATTCGACGAAATATAGCATTAGCTGCATATATTTTCCGTGAATTCCGCAAACTTGAAGAGCCTCGGCAGTTTGAAAACGATTTTAAATCGTCCAACTGGGAAAGGCGACTGATGGAAAAGGCATCAGCTGGCTGATTTATCAATGGCTTCCTAATAAGGAAATGTTCATTGCCCCTGTTTTTCATATCGCCGATTTCGGTGACTGGCTATTGGTTAATCACAGCCATATTCTCATGTATAGGTACGTGTTATACTTGATGA